GGGCAGCAGGGCTATCCTATTAAAGGGAGGAATGCAAGACCCCAAAACAGAGATGCAAAAGGCCACGACAATGGGCAGGTCCCTCAGAAGTCTCCCTGAGGCAAATCCTGTTGCCTCAGAACCTACTTAAAGTTCCAGTCCATTTTTCTGTTCTCTTCTGTTTATCTCTCTCTCCCATCCATGCATCTCCTCACATCGCCCTCCCTCTCTTGCCTGTCTCTCCCCTCCCATTTTTAAGTAGCTAAAATATGGAATTGGAAGATTCTAAATTTACACATTATTCTTTTATCTATTGACTAAAGATATATGTTCTCTGTTTAAAATGTTTAAACCAGGCACATTTAATCTGTTACATCTTTTGAAAACAAAACTAAAAACCAACCAGATTGTTCTATTACTTTTGGACACTGGTCATGTTACCCACTTCTCTGTGCCTCAGTTTCCTCACCTGGAAGATGGGGATACTAACAGCATGTATCTTATAGGGTTATTGTGAAGATGAAATTAGTTGATATATATATATAAACACCTTTATTTTTCATTCTTTTAACAGCTTTATTAAAATAATAATGTACCATAAAATTTACCCTTTTAAAGTATACAACTCAGTGGTTTTTAGTGCTTCACAGAGTTGTGCACTCACCATCATGATCTAATTCTAGAACATTTTCATCACCCCAAAATGAAACCCGTTGACAGTCCCCAATCATTCCCACCCTCCCTTCTCCCCGCAACCAATGTTCCACTTTCTGTTTCTATGGAATTGCCTATTTTATATAAATGGAATCACATAATATTAATACCTGGTCTTTTGTGACTAGCTTCTTTTATTTAGCATGATGATTTCAAGATATTCTGGCTCATCTCTTATAGCATGTATCAGAACTTCATTTTTTCCCTGAGTATGTGTATATATGTAAATAATTTTTTTCTGCTTAATGCTTTAAAAATATATAATTTTTCTTTTGTTTCTGGCTTTATTGGAGCATAACTTACAAAGAAAAAATGTACATATTTAAGGTGTACAATGTGATCATTTGATATACCTATACATTATGAAACGATGACTATAATCAAGCTATTCATACACATATCCATCACTTCACATACTTTTTTTGTGAGAATGCTCAAGATCTACTTGCCTACTAAGTTTCAGGTATACACACAGTATTATTAACTGCTAGGGGCCCAGTGCATGTATTCGTGCACCGTAAAATGAACTGTGGGCCATGAGGCTGTGTTGGGCACAGGGGCAGGTCTCAGCCAATCCTCCACACCCCCACCCAGACCTTCCCGCTATGGCGCCAGTCCCATGTGTGCCTTCAGCCCTGTTCCCCCCACAATGCGCTGACAATGTGGGCCCCACTCTCACCTGCTGATGATGGGGTGGCGCCGGGTGCCAGGCGGGACAGTGGTGTGCGGGAGTAAAGAATTTTCAGTAACCACCAGAGCCTCACCCTGATGACAGTGCCCAGTGCCCTGCCTTAGTCTGGTGCCCCCACTCACCTGCTCCACCATTCTGCCGCAGCCAACACCTGCCATGTTCCACACTCTGCCACCTGCTGCTCACTCCCACCATGTTCTGCACATGCTCCCCTGGTGACCAGCACATGTTATAGTAACCGGTTGTTTGGTTGTTCCACTGTTCGGTCTATTTGCACATTAGTCTTTTATTATATAGGATAGTCACCATGGTGTACATTAGATCCTCTGAATTTATAATCTTACTAGAGGCCTGGTGTACGAATTTGTGCATCAGTGGGGTCCTTCAACCTGGCCTCCGGGATCGAGCCTAAACTGGCTCTCTGACATCCCCTGAGCAGTCCTGGATTGCAAGAGGGTGCAGGCCAGGCCAAGGGACCCCCACCGGTGCACTTAGGGCCAGAGAGTGATGCCGAAGGTTGGTCAACCGGGGAGGGACCATGGGAGGACTTCAGGGCATGTCCAGCCTGTCTCGTTCAGTCCCAATTGGCCAGATCCCAGCAGTAAGCTAACCCAGCGTTTTTCAACCGCTGTTCCGCGGCACACTAGTGTGCCGCGAGATGTTGCCTGGTGTGCCGTACGTGCAGACAAGACAAGAATTTTATAATTTTTCACTATTTTGTTTACTTAATATTTCATAATAAAGTAATTATAAAATACTTCCTTTGTGTTTATTTGATTCCTATTCAAGAGAATTACTTTATATATAGTCAATATAGGCACAGAGTTAAATTTTTTAACATTTTCTAATGGTGGTGTGCCTCGTGATTTTTTTCATGAAACAAGTGTGCCTTTGCCCAAAAAAGGTTGAAAAACACTGAGCTAACCTACCAGTCAGAGCATCTGCCCCCAGTGGTCAGGGCACATCATAGTGAGCGGTTGAGCAACCTTAGCATGTCATTATCATATTATGCTTTAATTAATTAATACCATTCTTACAATCAGATCAGGTTGAATGGATGACCAGATGACCACACACTTAGCATATTAGGCTTGTATTATATACGGAAATAGTCAACAAGTACATTAAAAAAATACTCAACATTACTAATCATCCCAAATGTGTGCCTGAATGTGCTAATGTTTGCTAATGTTATGAAGTCATGCTTTTTACCCTCCCTGTGGGTGAGTTGGCTTCAAATTTAAGTCTTAGACCTTGTAGTAGAAATTCCACCTGTGAGTATATCTGTGATTATTTCAGTAGCACCTCTCACCCAGAGTCTCCAATGGTTAAGCAGGATTTTTTCCATTTAATCAGCATTAGAGATGGTTTACCATTGAGAGAGAAAGAGAGAGAGAGGTGAGAATTTAAGAGCAGATAGCACCTGGTTCCTGTAGGAGAGTTGCTGGAAGATTCTGATGAAGCACATGGTCTTGAATCTTCTGTGTTAGGTGATACTGACTCTGGAGCAGTAGATCTATGCCCACACTTAGGGGGAACAGTTCATTGTTGTCTCAGTTGTGGCCGCTATAACAAAAAATACCATAGACTGAGTAGATTAAACAAAAAGGTATTTCTCACAGCTTTGGAGGCTGGGAAGTCAGAGATCTGGTGCTGGCATGGTTAGATTCTCGTGAGGGCTCTCTTCCTGATTTGCTAATGGCCACCTTCTTGCCCTGTCCTTACATGGTACAGAGATAGCTCGAGCTCTAGTCTCTTTCTCTTCTTACAAGGACAGTAATCCCATCATGGGCTCTACCCTCATAACCTCACCTAAACCTAATTTCCTATTAAAGGCTTTTCCACCTGATACCATGCCATCGGAGGTTATGGTTTCAACATAAGTGTAGGGGGCCGGGGAGGACACACAAACATGCAGTCCATAACCATTCCTATTTGTAAACTGCTTTTTAAATTGTGCTTATTTGATATGTCAATCAGTCTTCCTTGCAGAAATTAAGCTGCCTGAGGGATGGCATGGCAATGGGGGAATCTTGAATCCATAGCTCCTGGCACATTCAGTCAAAGTTTGTTGGAAAAAATAAAATAAAAAGTCAATTAGCAAGTCTGGGCTTGTATTCATTACTAGAAACTCTTCAAGTTGTCCCAGAAAACTGCTTTTGTTCAAACACACTGCACACACTTAGAAATATAGTTAGACTAGATGGAAATCATGTTAATGATTTTAAAAAGGTGGTTTTAGTGTTTGATGGCATGCAGTCATTCTCTCACATAGTAATTTATGTGACAAAAATCATACAATACATCCTACTCAGGCTTATAAATACTTAAACAGTTAATCCATCATTTAATTTCACACATTTAAAGGATCTTTCAAAAGTATAATAACAAAATATTTTAAGAAGACGTTGAAAAATTAGTGATGACAGGATGAAAGACCATCTAACTCTTTAGGCTACAATCTATGGACATGTTGAAGGCTTATTGATTTAAAGGGAAATTATATCTGGAGAAGACAATATAAAAGTAGTCTAATTGTAGACAATTAAAAATAGTCTAATGGGTTTTTTTTCTTTACAGAAATATGCAATTACACCCTGAATCAAATTGCTTCCAACTTCAAGGTGTATTAGGGCAAGACTCCTGTTTTCCAATTCAATGGTACATTCCTCCAGCTGAGAAATATGTTGTGCACAAAATGACATTTGAAAGGGTATTTTTACCTTTTTTTATTAGTCTTATTGTATTACATTTTTTAAGAGCAGTCTCAATCATGCCGTTTACACTTGCATAACTTAGGCTGGAATAGCAAAGCACTACAGAAATGAATGTCAAAGGAGCCCTTAGGTGAGGTTAAGATAGAGCCCAAGTTAATATCACCCTAAGTTGTTTCCATAGGAAAAGTTTGTTCTCTGTGAATTCTAGTAAGAAAGAATAATTTAATGACAAAACTTCATTAGAAAGCCAAACGTCTTTCTACATCTTGGACAGTACCTTAAGCTATTCTCAAAGCACTCCCTCATTCCATCATTTATCTTTCTAGTGATGTGGGCTCAGGAATCCTGTTTTATAAATGGCGGGGAACTGAGGCTAAGGGTGTCAAAGTGATCTCTTAGGGATTCCCTGGACAAGGAGTTAACCAGCTCTTTTCATATCGGGGGGCAAGGAGGTGTCGCTGCCCAGTCAACAGGCTCTTTAGGCAGAGACTACGATTTTAAGAAAACCAGTCCCTGACCAGCCGCCCCACAGCGTCAAGGTGAAAGCAGGTGACTGTGTCTACATTTAACTAGCAAACCTCCATCTCCTGGCGGCACCTGCCCCGCCAAAGGGACAATGAGGGCTGAGTTTGGTGAAGCTGCCATTGAGCAAAGCACCTGGGCCAGCATCTCCACAGGTGACCGAGGAGATGATACAAATGAGGAGGTGCAGGCCTGCAACCCTCCAACTCACCCCGACGAGGTGCTGGGGCTCTAATTTAGAATTTGAATTGGGAGTGCTTTAACCCTGCCGCCTGCGGGGTAGAGAGAGCATCCCTCCCTCCCCCAGGTCCCACCCGCAGCCGCATTGCCGCGGAGCAGCTCGGCTCTCGATTGCTCGCGCCTGGCGGCGGGCCGGCATCGCAGTGGCTGGGGATCTGCGCTCTAGGGGTCGGGTCTGGCTCGCACTGGCGGTGGCGCATGCTCGGCGGCACCCAGGCCCTCGCGTGGTGGGAGGGGGTGCCCGGCGCGGGGATGTCGAGGAGATCGAAGCTGGTGCTGGGCCTCTCGGTGGTGCTGACGGCGGCCACCGTGGCTGGCGTGCATCTGAACCAGCGGCAGGACCGGCAGGTTGGTGTCACGTGACGGTCTCTTCCGGGCCCGGCGGCGGCGGCCTTGGGGAGGGTCTATGTTCTCTCCGCGTGGTTTCCCGCTGGTCCTGGTCTTTCCTTCTCTCCCGTCCTGTCCTCTCCCCGGCGGCGGCGCGGCCCGGCTGCAGCCCCCCTGGCCGCGTGCGCCCTCGAGGTGCGGGCCACCGTCCCGCCTCGGGCGCCGGGAGCCCGGGCCTCCCGCTGAAGTTGGGCTCCCGCGAACGCACGCCCGTGGGGCGGTGAGCGGCCCCGCTTTCTAGTGGCAGCCAGCCTGCAGGGATACGGCGGCCTTCCAGACTGTCACTGGGACCCCAGAGAATGCAGGCGGGAAGGCGTTTCCTTGGGGTGCATTCAGCAGGTGATGGCCTCTCCTCACCCCCAGGCCCAAGGTTGGTCCTACGGTGTTTAAGTGCTAGTAAGACTTTATCCCACGATAAAGAAGCATTCCCGCATTCGCCTTCGTAATTTGGGGAGATGCTTGTATGTTTTTTTGTGGTTGTGTGTTGTTGTCTTCTTTATTGTTGAAAGCAATACACGTGTCCCTTCTTTTCCCTATTGATCCCTTCTAGCCTGTCCCTCCCCCCCTTCCCCGCCCCCGGCCTTCACCTCACTATTGTCTGTATCCACACACACAAGTTCTTGGTTGATCTCCATAAAAACTAGATTTTGTGGACGTCAACGATACCAGCTTCCAAATTTTTTTATTTTTTTTTTGTACTTATATTCCTAGAAATATCCTGACTTACTGATCATTGGTCTGGCCGTCCATTCTGTGGCTCTCTGCCCATACTTTCTTATTCAAGTTAGTAAACGCTTAATGACGGGTCACTGTGTGCCAGGAACTTTTTGGGAAACACAGATAAGGAAGCAGAGCCGCTCTGGAGACAGACTAACTGAAAACAGCACTGAATGTTGAGTGTGAGAAGAGGAACTGGATCATAGGTGAACTCTCAGAGGACACCTTGGCGCGGGTATTGGTCGAGCCTAGTGTGCCAGGGGTGAAAGCAGTGACCTGAATCAGTAGTAAAGTCATCGCTTGCATTGGACTGTGCTGTGTGCTGGGTATTCAGATATGAAGCAGATGAGGTCTTTGTCCTCGGTGATCACAATCCACGGAAATCAGAGGAGGGGAAGCCCGTGAAGATACGAGAATTGTGCGGAGAGGAGGGAATGGGATGATGATTAATGATGAAAGGGCATTGACGAGACTAGAGATTTGGGGTTTTAAAGGGGTAGCTCTTGTAATAGAGGCAGAAGTCTTCCTCCTAAGAAAGAAAAAGATGATGATCCCAAGAAAAATTGAGCTGGAGTAGTGTGTGTCAGATACAGCTCTGAGGTCTGTGAACAGGGAATTACCAAGAGAGTGTCTGGTAGGGCTGGATTATTAGAGCTTGGTTCTGAAACCTAGCCACACACACACCCGATGTTCCTGGAAAGTTTTTACAATGCAGCTGAGGCTGGGCCCTGCTCCAGGCCTATTAAATCAGAATCTCTTGGGCATGAGGATTCTGCTTAGATATGTTTTATTTATTGATTTCAGAGAGGAAGGAAGAGAGAGAGAAAAACATCAGTGATGCCATTGATCAGCTGCCTCCTGCACACCCCACACTGTGGATGGAGTGGGAAATCCGGAGCGAGTGCGCTGACCTGGATTGAAACTCGGACCTCCTGGTTCATAGGTTGAAACTCAGCCACCGAGCCACATCAGCTGGGCTTACGTATGTTTTAAAAGCAATTAAGTAGGTTTTAAAGGCTACCCAGCCCTAGCCGGTTTGGCTCAGTGGATAGAGCGTTAGCGTACGGACTGAAGGTTCCTGGGTTCAATTCTGGTTAAGGGCACATGCAAGGGTTTTGGGCTCAATCCTCAGTAATGGGCTTGCGAAAGGCAGTCAAACAATGACTCTCATTGATGTTTCTCTCGCCCTCCTCCCTTTCTCTCTGAAATCAATAAAAAAAAAATATTGTTTTAAAAAAATAAAAGCGACCCAGAGGATACTAGCAGGCAGCCAGGGTTAAGAACCCCTGGCTAAAAAAAAAAAAACCCTGGCTGCCTGCTAGAGTGGAAGAACAGGTAAAGTTAGATATTTGGAAGTTAGAGATGAAGAAAAGATTGACCAGAATAACCTGGGTTTATCTTACATCCAATCATTCATGTGGGCTTACTTTCTCTCTAGCAGTGGAAAAGAGCTGGTAGATATGTAAGAAGAAGGTTCAAATGATTGACTGGTAGATATGCAAGAAGGTTCAAGGAAGCAAGAAATAAATAATGACTATTGTTTCTTGACTGTCTACTACATACCAGGCACTGTATTAAGCATTTTATATACATTACCTTTAACCCTCATGGGAACCCTGCAAAACAAGTAGTACTTAGGTGAGGAGCCAGAGTTCCAGGTGTTAGAATTGGAATAGTGGACAAGTCGTAATGGTTAGTAAGTGAGGTGGTTCGTAAGGTAGTTGAGTGGACCTCACAGGAAAGATGTGGGAGGCAGTCGGCATACCCATTGAAACTTGGAGGAAGATAGCAAATGATGGATGCAGAGCAAGATCCTAAGCATGTACTAAACTCTCTGCAAAGGGTAGGATCTCAGACAGGTGTGGAAGGTGTGAGCTTTGGGGGTGGGGTGGTGTAAGGAGCACAGGATCGGAGGAATTGCGGAGGGAGGCGTGGAATGAGCACTTCCATTTCTGTCTCTGGAGTTCTTGCCAAGGGGTCAGTGATCAAGAAAGTTGGTTTTCAGTTGAGTTATTAGTCTTAGAATCCTCTACTCCCCCCAATAGGGAATGCAGCTCTAGGCCTCAAGGTCCAGCAAGTAGATACTTAGTGAAAGTGTCTTAAATAGACATCATAATAATTAAAAAAAAACAAAAAACAAGTTCAGATCCGTTCCCCTACCCCCATTAATTCTGCATGACAAGGCTATTAGAAAATTATTAGAGCATTTTGTGACCTGTGACTATAAAATGTTATTAGTCATGACTGGATGGATGCTTTAAAAAGTCATCTTTGGTGCCATGTTCTTTAGTGCTTATCAAAGTAACTACCATTGATGGGCCTTTATTTTTCCTCTGTTAGTGGCATTCTATTTTTTCCCCATCTCTCTCGGTTACAAATTGATTAGTAATTTTTACTTTTTCTCTTTGTATACTAGAAGCTGGGTTTTTTATTTTTTTTGCATCTACCTTGTAGCTTGTTCATATTTTAGCAATCCTTTTTTTTTTTTCTTTGATGTTTATTCAGCTAGGAAAATTGCTAACAGGAAAGTATTTCACAGAGTTACTGTAGTAATTCTTACCAAATAGTTTAAGTGTCATATATCAATTAAACTTTTAAAATTCAACATAGTGATAGTTTTTTTAAATTGTTATTAAATTTTCTGTAATAAATGTTCAGGAATTTCTTAAAATATGGCCAATAGTCATTTAAGTGATAATGTTATAACCCCAGGTTAATTTGATGGGGTTTTTTAAATTACATTTTACATTTATAGAGAAAGTTAAAATAGTAGTTGGGTATTTGGAGTCTGGAAGTTTTAAGTGTATTTTGGTAACACTGTTATTTGATTTTGAGTGTAACAAGGATGGGAACCACCTGTTCAGGGTGCTACTGAAATCTGTTTCTTACATTTTTAGAGGCTTCGTGACGGAGTAATCAGAGACATTGAGAGGCAAAATCGGAAAAAAGAAAACATCCGTCTTTTGGGAGAACAGATTATTTTGACTGAGCAACTTGAAGCCGAAAGAGAGAAGATGTTACTGGCAAAGGATCTCAAAAAACATGACTTGAAATGAATGTGAAATATTGATGTGTGTGCATGTGAGTGTGTTGATGGAGAATAGCTTATAGTAAGATTTTCAAACTTTTTTTGGTCACTGTCCTTTTAAACTCAATCAAGGAAAGGGCAATGGATTATACCAAATTATTACTTTAAAAGTTCGTTATATCTGATTAGAGAATAGGACAGACACTCTTCTGAAGTTTTCGTATAATCCTGATAAAAGCCTCTTTAAGCTTGGTCAGAGCTTAGGATTGTTACGAAAGCACTTCTGACCCTCTGAGAAAGAAGGGATGGATAGTAACATCCATTTAGGTAGTTTGATAAGTCGCCATGATGATGAAGCCACAAGAACCTCTACCTCAGAAGGACTGGAGGAGGGTGAAGTGGAGGGGGAGACTCTCCTGATTGTTGAATCCGAGGACCAGGCATCAGTGGACTTGTCTCACGATCAGAGTGGGGATTCTCTCAACAGTGATGAAGGAGATGTGTCCTGGATGGAGGAGCAGCTGTCCTACTTCTGTGACAAATGCCAAAAATGGATACCAGCCAGTAAGAAGCTTCTCGATTCCTTTGATATGTCAGTTTCCATGTGTTTGTTTTCCTAACCTGTGGAAAAAACAAAAATAAAACATGAATGTAAATAGACCTAAATAAAAGGATAATTATATTTATTTTTAGTTTAGTTGATTTAACTACAAATTTATATAAAACAAACACATTTATACTAATAAAAATTACTGTTGATATTTATCACATTGTTAAAATAACGTTCTTGATGGTAACCCAATAAAGACTAGAAAATTGGATATCCTGTGTTACTTAAGAAATTAGCCAGATTTTTCTTAAAAGGCTATGTTAAGACTTTGGGGCCCAGTGTAGAATAAAAGTTCAAGTTCATAAAAATTACTCTTAGTATTTAACTCACATGGAAAATTCCTGCTACTGTAGGCTGATGTAAGGCCAGAATTAGCAGATTAAAGTGTTTTGTGCTTTTTTTTGCTAGGATCATTCTTCTTTTCTCTTGTTGACCTCAGTGATCTGCTGGCAAGAGATCTATACACACACATGCTCCCCTGATACTTTAGTTTTTCTTTTCTTTTTTTTTTCTTTTTTAAAAATATATTTTATTGATTTTTTTACAGAGAGGAAGGGAGAGAGATAGAGAGCTAGAAACATCGATGAGAGAGTAACATCGACCAACTGCCTCTTGTACACCCCTTACCGGGGATGTGCCCGCAACCAAGGTACATGCCCTTGACTGGAATCGAACCCGGGACCTTTCAGTCCGCAGACGGACGCTCTTCCAGTGAGCCAAACCGGTTTTGGCGATACTTTAGTTTTTCAACTCAGTCTTTTCAACTGCTAGCTTCCTAGTTCTCACAGAAGATATGCTTTGCCAGTCATCATGAGTCTTACCACAACAGGATTTTTCTATTAGGTAGAGACTAGTAAAGACGTACGCACTAGAGGAATTCTTTGTGTAATGAATTTGTAACTAGGTAATTGTGAAGTGGGTTATTTTCTGGTATGTGGAAATGTTTTTGTTGAATATTCAACTTCAGATTAATAGTTACTACTAACACATAACTTTTCTCAGAAAACAAATCTGGAGTTTATTATAAGTAGCTTTTGTTTGTGAGGTGTCTCTTTTTGCTTATTAATTCAGGATCCTGCCTGAGAATCTCAGTGGCTTTCTCTGTCCTGACGGTATACATCTTAACCTGCCCTTTATGATTATGCCCCTGCTAACTTCTTTAGCCTCTCTAATATCCTGTTCTCCTCACACATAAACAGACCTTTGCTGTTAGGATGAGCTTTTAATTCTCTACAAACAAGTCTTTCTTATCCCTGAGTCTCAGCACATTTTAATTTTCTTTCTGGAATATTCTCTCTAGCCTCCATGCCCTCCCCCCATATACACACAAGCTCCTCTCTTCCCCTGGCCAATTCTAGTCATCCTGTAGAAGCTACTTTTTCTAGCTCTCCTATCTTTCCAATATGGGTCGGGCACCCCGTTTATGTGCCGTCACATTGTCTTTACTACTACAGTGGTTTTCATGTCTTCCAGAGCGTGTGTCACTTTAAAAATGTGGACCCAGGCTCCACTTCAGAGATTAATTTATTGCATGTGGGATAAGCCAAGACATTAAAACAAAACCATTCTGATGTACAGTGAGGATGGAGAACCACTGTGCTGTTGTGATTACCTATTTCCTCCTGTTTCCCCTACAGAATTTGTAAAGAGAGCAGTTACTAGGCTTGTCTTGGGCACAGTATTCCCAGTTTCTAGCCCAGTGCCTGATACTGGGTGGGAGCTTGGGTATTTTTGAAAGAATGTGTGAAGAGACTGTAGGAGTCTGGAATGTTAACAGTTGGAAAATCCAGTGAGCAATAATAACTGCTTTTTTCCAATATCTTCCAAAAGTTAGGGAACCAACGATCTTCATGGGCATACACTGATGTTGGGAAAAATAAAAAAATCTCTATTTCTTTCCCTGCCTCTTTCTGTCATGAACTGGCTGAAATAAAGGAAAAACAGTAGGGGAAACTTAAAATCTGGTTGCTAAAAGAATTAAACTTTTGAGTTACCCCTGTTCTTAGATAAATCTATGATACACTTTTTTGTTTTTCTCCTAGGTCAGCTGAGGGAACAGCTCAGTTACCTTAAGGGTGATAATTTTTTTAGGTTTACTTGTTCCGATTGCTCAGAAGATGGCAAGGAGCAGTATGAAAGGCTGAAGCTAACATGGCAGCAAGTGAGTAAAGGCTCTTATAGAATTCAGGAGTTTGGTCCCCCAAGGAATTTATTGGAATATCCACAGAAAGAGGAACTTATATATGTGAGATTTTGAGCTGTTTGGAGGGTTTTTATTTCCTCATGAAAATTATATATTGAATGTGTGGAGAAAGAAGTTCTTGGACTGCACTCATTGCTAACTTAGTGAATTGGGTTTGAGATACTTGAAAACTTCACACACGATATCCTTTTTTCTATAATACGAAACTTTGATTTTAATTGAAAATGAAGTTCACGTTTTTTGAACCATGAAACCATTTTAAAAATTGTAAAGATGGCCACATAGGAAATAAATCTGGAAGACATAATGTGGTTGATTGCAGAAACCAACATAATCCACTTTTCTGCATTTGAATGCAAACCTATTTGAATATTTTTTGTGTCTGTTTTTAAAAAAATTCTCACCCTATTAATTTAGAGAGGAAGGGAGACAGAGAAACATCAATCTCTTGCCTCCCGCATCCCACCTGGCGATCGAACCCACACATTCAAGGTAATGTGCACTGACTGGGAATTGAACCCACAATTTTTTGGTGCCCAGGACAGCACTCCAACCAACCTGATGAGGGCCCTATGTCTACTTTTAACCATCTTCAATACCAATACCATAATCCAACTATATAGTATGAATGATAGCTTTTTATTGATCTTTGGTTATATAAATTTTTTTGGTTTGTTTCTATATTAATACTAGTGTATCTCTAATAGGCACAATGTACATATCGTCTTTAAGTTCTAAAAATGAATGAATTATGCATATTCAATTTTATGTTTATTGATTCAACAAATATTGAGTGCCTGAAAACTACAAGAGAGCTATAACCCCTACCCCCTAGGCGTCACATTCTAGACATTTATTTTATGTTGTAAGCAGACAGATAAGTTAGTTACCTATAGCACTTTTTTGCTGTGAAGGAAATGAACAGGGTAATGAGAAAGATTATACCATCTAGGCCTCTTCAGGTGTTCTTGTAAATTGTAGTTGCTTTAGCAGCCTTAGGTGTCTTAGTTATCAGAGCTTTATTAGACAGCTCATCATGAAATCTGTTGGAGCTGAATGGAGAGAGTGAGTCTTTGACTTGTCTGAAAATATATGAGTAGAAAATGAAAGGTAGTTTATATTGAGGATATAGTCTCATGAATATTGTAATTCTAATATTTTTTTCAAAGAATACATGAGACCTGCCTCTAGCCAAGGTCAGGTTAATATTAATAGGTTATTCTGATGTGTGCATATGTAGGCAGATTTTCATTTGGCCTGCAAGTAGCTTTTCAAAAGCTGTTATATGGAAGAGCAAATATATGTATTTTTGTTATTTTCAAGAATGTGAGTTTTCTGTGAAGGTTCTTTTTAAAAGAAAAAGTAGTTTTTTATTGTGTGGCTCAGAATTTGTAATATTAGCTCAGTTTGCATATTTAGTTAAACTAACATCCCTTGAAAATTATTTATTTTATTTTATTTTTTTAATATATATTTTATTGATTTTTTACAGAGAGGAGGAGAGCGGGATAGAGAGCTAGAAACGTCGATGAGAGAGAAACATCAACCAGCTGCCTCCTGCACACTCCCCACCGGGGATGTGCCCGCAACCAATGTACATGCCCTTGACTGGAATTGAACCTGGGACCTTTCAGTCCGCAGGCCGACGCTCTACCACTGAGCCAAACCGGCTTCGGCTTATTTTTTACTTCCAAAGACACATCGGTGATAGATGATATTGGTCTGATGAAATCATAACTTAGGTCAGACACATCTCATTCTTGGCAAGCTACCGATCAGTGTTTCTGTTGCATCTTAAAAACTCAGTCTTGCCCTGACCAGTTTGGTTCAGTGGATAGAGCGTTGGCCTGCAGACTGAAAGGTCCCAGATTCGATTCTAGTCAAGGGCATGTACCTTGGTTGCGGGCACATCCCCAGTGGGAGGTGTGCAGGAGGCAGCTGTTCGGTTTCTCTCTCATCAATGTTTCTAACTCTCTATTCTGCTCCCTTCCTCTCAGTAAAAAATCAACAAAATATATTTTAAAAAATTAAATTAAATTTAAAAATATTGTCAGAAATAAATAAATTAATAGATACTTCTGTATCTACCACTGATATTAACAGTGAATCCTGTTTCTGGGTTACTCTAGGAGTCTGAGAGTGGGCAGAAGTTCACTTCATTCTTTCCTTAAAGTATTTCCTGAACAGTCACTTTTAAAAATTGAGGTAATATATACATAGTGTAAAAGTTTAAGATTTTAAGCATTTTTAAGTGTACAATTCAGTGGTATGAAGCATATTCACATTGTTTGGCAACCATCACCACTATCCATTTTCAGAATTTTCTTATGTTCCCAAACTGAAATTCCATATTCATTAAATAGTAACTCCTCATGAACAATTATTGCTTTTTGGTTGATGTAGACCCGATGCAAAAATCAGTGAAAGAATTTGAAAAATCTGTTCACGGGTTAATTATTTGTTAGGCCGTCCGAAAGTTTTACAAGTTTAAGGTTGGCGAATATTGAAATTCAGTGGAAGCAGCAGAATTGCCTTCAGGCATAAGTCTTCTCATTGGGAGTTAATGCTGTGAACCCACGTGATGGCCATGAATTGCACTTTATTAGATTCCTTACAGCTTCAGGACCCTCCTTATTGAAATAATTATTTAAGGATTAAAAATTTTAAAAAATATATTTATACATATTTATTTATTATTGATAGTATTACAGATATCTCCCATTTGTTCCCTCTTTACACCCCTCCTCCTAGTCTTTCCCACTTCCCAGGTCTTCACCTTCCTAAAAAATATATTTTTATTGATTTTAGAGAAGAAGGGAGAAGGAAAGAAAGATAGGAACATCAATAATGAGAGATAATCATTGATCAGCTGCCTCCTGCACGCCCCCTACGGGGCATTGAGCCCACAACCTGGATATGTGCTCTGACTGGGAGTCTAGCTGTAACCACCTGGTTCATAAATTGATGCTCAAGCACTGAGCCACACCTGCCAGGCAGGATTTTTTTCCTTTAGATTCTCTCTCCCCTTTTCAATTTTGTTGGCCCCAAATTAATCATTATTTTTATTAGGTTGAATACATGGTTTTGAATAGCTTGTATAGTTTTGTTCATTTACATAAAATTACATAATTATAAAATTACATGTAGACACAAAAAGAAATGTCCGAAAGGACAGTCACTAAAAATGTTAAAAGTGATTATTTCTTTTAACATATTTTTAATTGTTTCAGAAAGGGAAAGAGATGGAGAGAGAGAAAGACATATCAGTGATGAGAGAGAATCGTTGATCAACTGCCCCCTGCATGCCCCTCACTGGGGGTTAGCCTGCAACCCAGGCATGTGCTATTCATGGTGACCTGGATGCTAACCATTAAGCAACACCGGCCGGGCTGATTATTTCTTGTTGGTGGATTTAAAGTGATCTTTACGTACTTCTTTTCTCTTTTTTCCTATTATTAAGTCTTTTACAGTGAGCATGTGTTATTTCCCCATTCGGGGCCATGAATTTATTGTTTGTAAAATAACCAGGTTGTTCTACAATAGATTAGGAGTTTTCAGATTGAACTCTGGGGAGTGAGCCCTTTGAGAAGGGGCAGAGCAGACAGGCCTTTTCAGGTCTCTGCCCCTTGTTGATTGCTGGTTTCCTTTGAAGAAAGGTTTGCACAGCTAAAAATGATTAAATACTGAGTAGATGATGTGTCACATTATTTTCAGCTCTTAAATTCTGAGAGTCATTTGTTTCTGCCCTCTAAAGCGCTTAGAAAAATATGCAGGGATGATTTTCAAAATATTCAATAAAGTTAGCACTGTTGGTGAATATGCTGGCTGTAGTAGATACCCAGAGACCTCCTGATGGCCAGTAGTTAACACTTTTGTTAGTTCTGCATTGTGTAGGATGGAGGGCTACTGGGCTGGGGATTCACCCAGGACAGTGGTTATTTATCATAATCAGTCACCCACACAGCAACCCTGCATATGTAACACGTAAAGAAAGACTGCACATAACTAAGTGGATTAGTGAGACTCATCTGAGGCAAACAAAGAAAGTAAAATTTTATACTGAGGATATTCCAAGATACTATCCTTCCTTTCCCCCTCTCCTCCTCTGTTCTCCAGCACTACTATTTAGAATATATTAACACCTTTAATCATGCTTCTGTCCCAGTCCTTGTTTGGTTTGTTTTTCAGGTTGTCATGTTGGCAATGTACAACTTGTCTCTGGAAGGAAGTGGACGTCAAGGTTATTTCAGGTGGAAAGAGGATATCTGTGCTTTTATTGAGAAACATTGGACTTTTTTACTAGGGAATAGGTAATGTGATTTTTAAAAAATTTTTATACTTGAACAAAGATGTAAAGAATGAATATAAGATTTGAGCCAGCCTAGTGTAGCCCTCTAGAGCAGCAATTTTCAACCTTTTTTATCTCATGGTACATGCAAACTAATTACTGAAATTCTGCAACACACCAAAAAGTACATTTTTGCCACTCTGACAAAAAAATAGAAAAGGTATAATTTTGATTTATTCACACTGGCCAGCTATTGTGTTAGCTATTGCCATTCTTATTTTTATTTGACAATCTAAGGGAAAAGAGGTCAGTGCCCCTGACTAAATAATCAGGTATTGCACGTTCTAAAAATTCTTGTGGCACATATGAAATACTTTCAACAATAAATAATAATTATTATTATTTATATTTTATTGATTTTTTACAGGGAGAAAGAGAGAGGGATAAAGAGTTAGAAACATTGATGAGAGAGAAACATCGACCAGCTGCCCCCTGCACACCCCCCACTGGGTACGTGCCCGCAACCAAGGCACATGTCCTTGATTGGAATCAAACCTAGGACCTTTCAGTCTACAGGCCAACGCTCTATTCACTGAGCCAAACTGGTTTCGGCTAAAGAATTATTTTTAAAGATGAAAATAAAAATGCTTGTGGCACACTGGTTGAAAATCACTGCTTTAGAGAATTAGAGTATGCATTTGCTAGTGGCAATTACAGAGAATTTTGTAATCCAGAAAATGTTCCTTTTTTAAGTTAAAAAACTTGTTTATGAAAAACCAAAGTGGAAGTATATACTATTAAAAGTGTAGTCACTCATCCTATTTCGAGAAGGAACTATTTATACTGAGCATTAAGAGATTTTGAAGAGATTTGTAGAATGTTAAAACGTAGTTTGATTAAATGAGGCTCTTTAATAGTTGGATGAGTAACTATTTAATTGGAGGAGATAGTATTATTACTATCCTTTTAAAATTATTGCCTTATCAAAAGAAGAAAAATAATGGCAGTTATTGACTGCACCCATATATATTGCTATTCATTAATAAATTCTTTTTTTTGTATTTATTATTAATTTTTATTAAGTTGAAAGGAAATCTGTTGTCTTAGTTGTCTTAGAAGGGAGAAACAGTTTTAAATATTTTGGTATGACAGTGCTTAGCAAGATCTAGATACATTATTATACATACGGCTTATTCATTCCTCTTTTCATTTTAAAAAAATATATATATTTTATTGATTTTTTACAGAGAGGAAGAGAGAGGGATAGAGAGTTAGAAACATTGATGAGCCGCCTCCTGCACACCCCTCACTGGGGATGTGTCCGCAACCATGGTACATGCCCTTGACCAGAATCGAACCCGGAACCCTTCAGTCCGCAGGCCGATGCTCTATCCACTGAGCCAAACCAGTTTTGGCTCTTTTCATTTTAATGCCTTTTTTATTTTATTTTTATTTTATTTTTTTTGCTGCTAAATACACTCCTCCTTGGTAGCTGCTTTAGTTCATCAGACTTAGGGATGTCAGTGCACAGATATTGAGACCATATGGTGAGTGGAGAGAGAAATATACATTAATCGGTAATTTGTAGCCTTCTGGATATGCCCCAACTGGGGATTGAACCTGCAACCCAGTTATGTTCCCTTGTTGGGAATTAAACCTGACCTTTTTGTACACGAGACAATGCTCCAAACAACTTAGCCACACTGGCCAGGGCTTGAGACCATATTTTTTAACTAAAGATTCATGTGAATCTACTAAGATTTTTATTGCTATCCTCATTGCTATTTAGAGATTAGAGAGTTTACAACTGGATTGGTCAGTTCTCTTTGAGATTCTGATTGTTAATTGCCGTCTGAAGTCCTGTGTGAGATTTGTAAATCTTGCATAAAGGGTCATTGTAGACAAGATAGGTAAAGGCTCTGATCACAGCAGGTCAGAGCAGGGAGTTTGCACACATCCTCACTCTGAACTCACTGCAGCCTCTATTTCCTCTGGTGCTGAAAAGTCACAGCTCTGCTAATGCTGCTGGGAAATCAGGGAAGGCATTTAAAAAGGGACAACATTCTGAATGCCTGCTGTGAGGAAAAAGTAGAATTGATTCAGTACATTTTTACAAAAGAAGTTATTTTTGTTCTTGAGTAATATTAGTGGTACTAAGAAAAGAATTGACAGTATAACTGGTTATTTTTCTTAAAGAAAGGAAATCTGTTGTCTTAGTTCAATGATTTAGCACTATTTGTGGGACTTAATACATCCCATTTATAAAGGTCAAAAAAGGGAAAAAAACAGATAAAATTAGATCTTGGAGTGTTTTCATGATCTCAGTGCTACTCTGTTTAATGGATTGTCTTCTGGAAGAACTTGGATTTAAATTGCCTGTTTTTAAGGATATTGTCGTTATTTTAACAGAAGTTGTTCGTGTCATTTGTTCATTTCTAGTGCCTGTTTTTTTGTTGTTGTTGTTTGTTTGTTTTAAATACTTTTACCAAAAGGCATTAATTACTTTCCAGCTGCTGTGTAGTTTAACCATTAAACTAGCTGTTTGGGCCATAATAATGTATCACCTGAATTATTATTTACTTACTTAAAACAAGTCACTTAAAAAATACATTCACTTTAAAAAAAAAAAGAAACTTCACACCACCATGGTGAGCAAAAAATCCTACCTAATAAAAAGAATAATATGCAAATTAACCATCACACTGCTACACCCACAAGCCACACCCACCAGCCAATCAGACCGAGTATGCAAATAAACTCAACCAAGATGGCTGTTGTCACAGAGAGCAGGAGGGAGGGTTGGGTTTCCCAGGGAACAGAAGAAGCCAAGCTTTCCGCCTGCCCTTGCCAGCCTAGGCCTCCACTCAAGGCAAAAAGTTTCAACTATAGAAGGTAAACAAATCCAAACTGAAATGGCAGCAGCCATGGAGCAAGCAGGAGGCTTGGCTCTGCTCCAGGCTACAAAGTTTCAATTGTAGAAGGTAAATAAATTCCAGATACCAGGGCCTTTACTTGGGTCGCCAGGGGGCGTGGCTGACCTGCAAACCACCACTGGCCCCTCGCCCAGGCCACCCCATGCCCAAAGGGAACCCCCACCCTGATCCGAGACACCCTTCAGGGCAAACTAGCTGGCCTCCACCCGTGCATCAGGCCTCTATCCTATCTAATAAAAGAGTAATAGGCAGATTGACCATCACTCCAACACACAATAGCTGCCCCCATATGGTCAAAGATTCTGCCCCCATGTGGACACAAGATGGCCAGCAGGGGAGGGCAGTTGGGAGGCATCAGGCCTGCAAGGGAGGACAATTGAGAGGGACCAGGTCTGCAAGCGAGGGCAGTTGGAGGCGATCAACCCTGCAGGGGAGGGCAGTTAGGGGTGACCAGGCCGGCAGAGGAGGGAAGTTGGGTGCAAACAGGCTGGCAGGGGAGCAGTTAGACATCAATCAGTCTGGCATGGGAGTGGTTAGGGGATGATCAGGCTGGCAGGCAGAAGCAGTTAGGGACAATCAAGAAGGCAGGCAGGCGAGCAGTTGGGAGCCAGCAGTCCTGGATTGTGAGAGGGATGTCCAACTGCCGGTTTAGACCCGGTCTCACTCTAAACCGGCAGTAGGACATCCCTCTAGGAGTCCCAGATTGGCAGTGTGCAGGCTTGGTTGAGGGACACCTCCCCCCCCCCCCCCAATCCCGTGCATTAATTTCATGCACCGGGCCTCTAGTATGTATATAATTTGCCATAAACATAATGAAACTATAAAAATAAATGCACTAAAAATAAAACAATGCCATTAAGTTGTAGCTGGAGCCCATGGCCTATTGAGGTAATCTGAGACATTCTTTCTTGATCAAAAGGGGTGGGTACATGTTAGAATTTCAAGCAACAAACTTTCTCCTTGATCTAACCAGAAGGAGTGAAAGAGAAGGAAAAATTACTCTGTGATTCCTTGCCACTCAGTTTCCTGCACAATGCTAACCTTTACTTTGGGAACTCTGCTTTATTTTATTTGGTTTTGTTTTGTCTTTTCTATTTGTTTGTTGTTGTTGTTTTGTCTTTTCTTTTGTTGTTGTGGTTATTGTTATTGGGAATTCTGCTTTAAACATCAGTGGTTGCAAAGTCACCTGAAGCTGCTCCCTGATGTGATTACCATGTGCTCAGATGTCTCTGTATATGAACATACACCCCAGAAGACCATACTACAAAAGCACACTTACAGTCCAACATTTTTTATAACTAATAAAGATTTTAATTCTGCTATCCATAGACCATATTTTAAATTCCTAACAATAATAACCATTTCTCATTTGCCATAAAAGCTAACCAAATAGCCCTGGCTGTGTGGCTCACTTGGTTGAAGCATTTTCTGGTGCACCAAAAGGCTGTAGCTTCAATTCCCAGGCACATACTTAGGTTGCAGGTTTGATCCCTGGTCGGGGCACATGCAGGAGGCAACCAACCAATCGATGTATCGCTCTCACATCGGTCTTTCTCTCTCTCTTAAATCAATTTTTTTTTTTTTTTAAAGAGCTAAGCGAATAGTATACTGTGTAATGAAGTTCTAAATTTAAGTACATTTTCTTCCAGATATTTACAGGACTTGCTTTTACCATATGTCTTTAATTTTTACCAAAGTTTAAGTGTATAAAGACTTATTTAGGGCTAACCTAAATAACTTTATGTACCTATTGTAGAAACAAAAAGTATACAAAAGTTTTATTAATTACTATAGTTTAATTACCATTGTGTATGATCATTTAATTTGCTTTTACAATCCTAGCCTTAAATTCTTCCAGAAGGTATAACTTTGATTATACCTTTGAAGAATAGTTGGAATGCTTTATTCTGTTACCATATTTCATTAATTTTAAGATGCATAATATTTCAAATTTTTATTTATCTGACAGCTTGATATATCTTACAAGTAGTGATGATGTGTCAAAATTTGATAGTTTTCTTTCTTGTACATAAAATGATGTATCTTAAAATCAGTAGATCTTATATTTGATAAAATATGAGACAGCACA